TTTAATATTGGTATTTACAAAATATTGATTCATTGAATTACACATTGAGAAATACATTGAGTTATTTCTTTATAATTTTAAAAAGCCACATTTGCTAATATCACCATAAATCTCATCAGGAAAGTCTTTAAATATTGGAAAGCAGATACACATTTTTCAAAATCCTGATTTTTTTCTTTAGAGCACTTCAAACTCCATTCCAAGTTAAGAAGTACCTCTCTCCACTTTGTTCTTAAATCCATACTCCGGGAGTTCACAACTTTGTCTTCTTCTATATCTACACAAAATATACATGTTGATTCCATCTCTTAATTATTTCTAGAATTTACCTATTTCTTTCCTTTCCAAGCTACTACTAATATCCTAGTTCTATCACTATCTCTTACCCAGAATTGTGATGCATTCTATTAAATCTTTCCCATCTAGGGGTGAAGAACCTGCAGCCTTAGGGCCACATGTGGCTTTCTAGGTCCTTAAGTGCAGCCTGCTGACTGAATCCAAATTTTACAGAACAGAGAAAAGAAGTAGAGAAAGATGAAGCTTTTTTTTTGCATCCTTTGGTGCTTAAAAAAGAACCATCTTGAAAGGAGAAGGCCGCAGGTTCCCTACCCCTGCGGGGTGTCTCCCTTACCTATGAATAAAATTCAAACTTAGTTCAGAATGCTAGCCATCCTTTACGGTTCACTTCAAAAGTAATTGCTTAAAAGTTTCTATAACATAGACATACTATGTATACACTTGTAATAATTTAACATATTCTTCCTTGTCTTATTGGTATATAAGTAACATTTTACTTACCTGATGGTAAATTCTTTAAGAGAAAGACAAAATCATAGTCATTCTTAAACTTCCACCCCTGGTATAGTGATATGTACATAAGAGGTGTTCAACATTTGTTTATTAAATTTAATTTTAAATTTAAAACTCAAAAGTTAGTGCTGTAAATGTATTTGCTGGTGTGTATATATTTCATATGTATGAATACACTATTTAGGTGAGTTATTTTAAACTTGGCTTCAAAAATTACTTACCTTGATACATACACATACACAAAGCCTCTGATATCTATCAAATACCAGGTGGATATTAGTGTCCTGACATTTATGTTCTTTTAAAAAGTAATTAATAATCTTTATTGTAAAGCATTTCAATGCCATCATAATCTTGCAGAATGTGAATTTAATAAGAATATGAATAGTAATATCCTAAATTTAAAAGGAAAAATAAGGATAAAAAAACTTTCTGATTTTTCTGGAATGAAACATACAAAAGTAGATTGACAGTATTATTAATGAATTCAGTTTTTTAATTCCACTTACTTACAAAGAAACCCATAATTACAGATGGAAATACCTTTGCAGCAGATACTAATGCTTCTTTATTTCTTTGCCTTTCTTCCTCCAAACATTTTTCCAATAATTCCTATAAATGATAAGACAGTTGGAAAAACACTAAATGTATTATTTGAGGTAACAAAGCACATTCTTTCCATACTCTGGGCACACTTAGAATATTACCTTCTGTTCCTGAGATTGCTGAATCAAAGCTTCCTTTATTTTTTCTTTTAACAGTTCCTTCTCTGTATCTAGCATTTCAAGAAGCCTCTGATGCTACAAGAAAAGATAACTGAATTATGATTATGGCTCTGAGACAGACTATCTATCAACAACAAGAAAAGCTGGTAGAATTCATTTGCCCAGAAGTACTGAAGTAGTTACTGGAGGAAACAACGAGAAGTTTGCTAAAATGAAGGCTTAGGAGCCAAAAACATTGAATTCACCTTTTTACAATTAGCCCCAAGTTTGACAAAATATGTGACATGAGATCTAACTTAAGGCTAGCTACACCAAATTAGAAAATTAATCAGAAAATGATAAAGTGTCAATTTGGAAAAATTACTCACTAAAGTGATTATAATTAGCTAGCTGCAACAGAAGTATTTAGATGATAACTGAGAAAAAATGCTTGATGTGACTACCACAAGAAATTGTGTTTCTAGTAAACCAATGTTAAAGAAATTGAAAGATTTGTAACTGTTCTCACCCCAGATATTACCACAGATTCAAAAAATAAATCTATGAAGTCAAAGAAATATTATGTAACAGTTAAATGTTAATGTGTACAGAACTCATATATTTATTCCAAAGTGCTAGTGAAAAAGTACACAGAACCGTATCAGCCAGTTATCATGGACTCACACTTGGAGTTCGAATAGAACTTTCTAAGAAAATTCAATTTTTGCAGCCTCAAGCCCTCCAATAAAGATGAGCCATATACTGCTCTGGAACAGTGGTGCTCCAATGTGGAAATACAACCAGAGAATGTATATTACGACTCACATAGATTTTTCATTCAGTTACAAAAGGCAAATAAGGTATTTTCTCAGATTTAAAATACCATTTACATCCAAGTGTCCTTTACATATGAACTCATTCTGATATCCAATTTATTTTAAAACAGATTTATATCTTTCAAAGTTGTTCTGATTTAAAACATTTTTAGGGAGGCAGTCTATATTGAGAGTAAGTGACCAGTCTCTATTATTCCTGTTTTTAATTATAATGTTACATTTCATCTATGTTTTTCAAGAGAGTAAAAAGAAAAATCACATGAAAGATGTGGTTTTTCCTTAAAAACAAATCCAACTGTGATAGAAATCACGACATGATTCTGAGAAATTATTAGTACCATATGAATTTGTGAAAGGCAGCTGACTAACAAATGAGTAGACTTACCACATAATGTATAAGTAATAATAACTGAGACTCTAAGTTTTTATTCTATGTAACTCTAGATGTATACAGAATTTCACAGGATCAGAAACAATATCTAATCCTATTTAAAATACACACGAGAAAATATGCAAAGATAATATACCAGGCAAATAATCAGACTTAAAAATAATAAATACAATTCTGTGAGACTGAAAATACTGTTTAGGCTTGGGAGGGGGCATAAATATAACACAAATAAAACAAACATTATTGGAATTAACATATAGAATAAACTTTTCAGTCACTTTTAACTTTGAGAACAATTGTTCCCTAAAAAATATTGTTATGTTTGCAAGTTAGACTAATGGAAATCATTAAGTAATTTATTATAATTGGGCCAAATTTCCTCAGTGGTCCAATGAGGACTAAATTTGAAGAGGGTATATTAGCTAAAATGACAATGTAATGTTTAGAAAATTCATTCCTGAATGTCATTTCTTAATTCTGATAGAATACTGTAATAGGAGACAATTTCTGAGCTTGTTTGTCCAAGAATAAATCTAAAATTACCATTTGAAAGAAGCATTCTACTTAAAATATATCCTAAGTAAAATCATTGATCCACTTGAGAAACTACAATTACGTTACTGGCTTTTCTCATACTTAGAGATGATCATAGCTAACATGTTTTTGAGCACTTTTGAAGTTCTAGGCAGTTAGAAGTGCTTTATGCGTAATGGTACCACATTAAACTCTCAAAACAAACTGCTGTATTGTTCCACATTCTACTCATTTTCGGATGAGTGATTTGAGACTTTAGGCTAGGTAACTTGCCAGGCCTTTAGTGAATCATTTCAACAATAATCCCATTCTATATACTCATTATCAGTTGTAGTTATTACCTAATACTAAAAGCAGCCCCAGTATGGTATACTTAGTTATCACCTATAGTAATTAAAAGCTACATAATGTAAATAGTATGTCAGGTAAAGCCTCACTTCTGTTTCGCTGTAATAGAATTTGACTAATGTACACTTTTGATTCTGTTCTTTTCAGAGTACTACTAAAATAAGATAATTTTCTGAATAAAAATTCATATTAGGACAGATGATTCAGGAAAATACTGAATGGCACAGAGAAAAGTTAGGCTTAAAATTAAACATAGTTAATTTATAAAGTGAACAATCCAATAATCCACAAGAGGCTAATCAAGAACCATATAAAGTTCAATAAAATACATTTTGATTTTTGTTTCTGTAAAACTGAGATATGCTCATTGAGAAAAATATAAAGAAGAAGTAAAGATTTTGCAGTGCCCCATTACCCAAAGAAAATCATGGATAGCATTTAAGCAAACATCTTCCTGAAGAGCTGTTTATGAAAATATTATATACAATGAGTTTATATATAAATACTATTTATTATGTAATCTTTTTGAGATCATGAGTATAGTATTGACATTTTCCATAGAACTCTACATTATTATTCTGTTTTGTTAAATTTATATGTTTTATGATTCTCCTACTTATAGACATTTACGTTGTTTTCAATTTTTCACTTTAAAAGAAATCTTTATTTTTGTGCATGAATCTTTGTGAACTTGTACACTTACAGCCTTATGAGAAACTCCTAGAAGTCATATTAGCAGGTTGAAGATTGAGCACGTTTTATATTTTCCCAAATTATACTCAGGAAAGAAAATACAAAGTTATACCTTTACTAACAATAACAGGGCAATGGACAAGGGAGACTAGCCTACAGAAAAGAATCACAGATTGCCAGAGCAGCTAATTAACAAAATTGTTCCACTTTTGAAGAAAGGCATCCTTGTTATTCTTGACCAGAAATATTTGCTGTCTGCTATGGACCAATCACTGCTGTTTATCTCACCATTGTCCGTTTATGAAATGGAGATTTTTTTTTTTTTATTTCAGGGTATTATGAGGGTACAAACATTATGGTTACATTTTATGTCTTTGCCTCACCCAAGCGAGGGTTAGAGGCATGCCCTTCCCCTCTACAATGCTCCCTATGTCCTTTAGTTGTGGGTTAAACCCCCCATCCCCCTAATTCCTGGAGAATATTACTGCCATGTGAGCACCCTAGTGTTCATCAGTTAGTACCAATTTGATGGCGAGTACAAGTGGAGCCCATTCTTCCGATCTTGTGATACATCACTTCGGATAACGGGCTCAAGTTCAATCCAGGAAAATATAAGAGGTGCTAGATCACTGTCATTTCTTATGATTGAGTAATATTCCAGTGTATACATATATCCATATCACCTAACCCCAGTGAGACTGGCCTGTATCAAAAAATTCCAAAACGACAAATGCTGGCGAGGATGTAGAGAGACAGGAACACTCTTACACTGCTGGTGGGACTGCAAATTAGTGCAACCTCTGTGGAAAAGAATTTGGAGATACCTCAAAGAGCTAAAAATAGAAATACCATTCGATCCAGCAATAGCACTATTAGGCATCTACCCAAAAGAGCAAAAGATATGCTATAATAGAGACATCTGCACCCGAATTTCTATGGCAGCACAATTCACGATTGAAATGGAGATTTTTGAAACAGTTATTTTGTTCCTTCTCTCTCTTTTTTATTTCATGGATCATAGTTTCTTGATGGGGTAGGGGTCCCCCTACTTCTATACTGTCTCTGTTTCCTCAAAGTTTCTTTTTATTTGTTCTTTTGAGTTAGTAATTTTCTCATTTGAGTCATTTCTCCTATGTTTAGTAATCTTTTTATGTTCATATTAAAATCTCAGACACAAAAATGTTGATAGGAAATCCTATGTATGTTGGAAAGCTTCACAGTAGGCACCAAAAGTATTGAACTGGCTTTTTCATGCGGTGGGCATTCCCAAAGGTTAGTTCCATAAGCATTTTCTCTTGAGCTGGACTTTTTGGTTAAAAAAAATAAAAAAAATTCTCCAATTTCCTAAGTGGTGCCATGAGGTAAACATCCAGCATTCTAGGAGCAAAGTGGGGTAAGGGTGCAGTGGAGAGATCACTGTTCAGTAATGGTCTTTGGTTCAATCTCCTTCTTTACACACAAAGAAGAGGTCATATGAGGACACAGTGAAATTGTGACCACCTAAGGACAAGAAAACAAGCCTACTTGGTGGGCACCTTGGACTTTCCAGCCTCCAGAACTGTAAATATAAATTTCTATTGTTTAAATTATGGTGGGTGTTTTGTTATGGCAGCCTGATCTGACTAAGACAGTGTACAAGGGGACTTGAGGACCTAACTGCTAGTCACATGGACTTTCAACCATTCCTCCTGTTTTCAGAGCCACACAGCACTGCAATAGAAGCACTAGCCTCTATTTCCTGAGGCTTTCCAGGGTTTTACAGGACAAATCAGTTGGCTTCATGGGTTTTTACCTCAATGGGCTAAGATTACAACTTGCTAGCCTCTGCTGAATCAGTTGATAATTGTCCCCCTGTTATCTCCTTTCTTATTTCTTTGTCATTCTGGTCAGGTTTTACTTTTTGGTTTTATTGTGGTCCCTTTAAGTGTCATTTTAAAGGTGGGTGGTGGTGGCTAGGAGATAGGGCAGATGAACGTTTTAATTCACTAAACCTAGCTGTGAACCTTTGGCAAGTTAGCCAACCTTCCTGAATAATTCTAGGACCTACCTTAATATGTTGTTATGAGAATTAAATAATAGTCAAATATTGACTAAATTAATACACATTTGATATTAGTGCTGACAACAGCACCTTTCAATAATAAACATACTATAAATGTTAGCATTCCTTTGAAAACAGATTAAAACAACAATTAACATTTTAATTTTCTTTAAGATGACACTAGGTCAAAACATCAGAATCAGAAAGGGTATTGTTTAGCTAATATAGAAGGGAGAAAGAAAAAGAAAAGGTG